ACGTGGTGGGGATATCGCGTTGCGAAGGCGTGGTATAGGCGCTATAATCCGATAGGGTTTCTACTCGTAAAATATCCCCGGAACGCTCAACAACCGCAAGCGATTATAGACCTAAATGCAATCATAAGTAAGGGTTGAAATCCGATGATAAAAATCGTTTTAGTGTATCGTTCTGTTGGCGTCCGAGCCGAGCACACTAGATATTCTCGGATCCCCTATATTTTATGTGATATTGGTTTTGTATGAACAGCCAACTTGATTTTACACATTAAATGCGGTTTTAGTTCAAATGTTTATCGTTTAATCGAAATCCCCAAGTTTTTTTTTTTGTTCGTCTCGATATGGTGTTTTAAATGTGGCTTGTTTTGGTCATTTAATGGTTGTTCATCCAGTGATTTAGGATTATTATTGCCGGCGGTGGAATTTTAGTACAGTTTTTATTTCGATTTCTGTTTCGTTAAAAATATAATATTAAAGGAAATCGATTGGTTAATATGTACAAAAAATAGGGAGCTACCAGAAGAATCATATAATTAAATATTTTGCAAATAAATGTATGTTCTATAAATATTTTTTTGTCACATTTCACAACCCACATGTGAATTATGTGAACTACTACCTATTAGTATGTAAAAAATATAATTATTTAAATTAATTACTCTCTATAATGTTCTTCTATACTTACCTATATACAAAACATCAGGAGCATTCATCAGTTATTAATTAAAATAATTATATATAAAAACTGATGATGGGAGTGGAATTACTTATGTATATACCCTTATTCCTAAACACTTGCACCAATTATAGCTGTAGGTATATGATGACTTAATAACAATAATCTTCATGAATTATAAATGCAGGTGTTCATTAAGAATAATTACCAAAGGTATAAGTACATGCATCAGGAAATGTAATTGACTTGTCAACAACTGTACACATTATTTGAGATAGAGTGATTTATTTTAATACATTATTGATGTGTGGAGTGCTCAAAATCTTTATTCATGATAAGAAATATAAGATATATCCTATACACAATAAATCTCTATGGAATATAAAAATGAGTAAAATGTAGTATAAGAGTAAATGAGATTAACATAATCCTAATTATTTCAGGAACCTTTGAAATTTGTATATCTCCCTACCTACAGGTAAAAATTAAAATTAAATTGATTACAATTAAATGAGAAGAAGACCTATTATTTATCGATTTATTATCATATATAAAACAACTAAGCCTGATGTCGCACCAATTTATCAAAAATAAAATTTTTCTATAACGATTTATGTTCATGTTTTCGAAATCAAACGAAATATTACATCATTTGTCAACGATATTTTTATCAAAATCGACGAAAATATAAGCACCCATGTACCGCAACCCATAAATACATTTATTGATGTACCCAAGTATACCTATAGGTGAACTACCAGTTTTATATCGTAATAGAAAAAAAATAACAGCCGTTCCCAGCCTGATTTATCGCTAGATTATCGAAGCCGTCTCCTAATAAATTGATATATAGAAGGAATCTCCTTTCGATTACATAATTTAACAATAAATTCTTTGTTAGCGGCGTTAACAACCTCGGGATTTCTTAATTTCTGGTCAATTTGGTTACGGTTCGTGATTGTAACTAATTACCGTCAAAAGATTTCGAAATTTCCAAGATAAAATAGGATTAAAAAGCATCGATTTAAGAACACAAGCAGCACAAAAACACTTAGATATAAAAATTCTATTAGATACCAATTTTTTTAAAATTAATAATTCTTTATAGCGAATAATACAGTTTAGCGATTAGTTCAAATCGAACGGTCGTTTAAAAACTATTCGTTATATTCTTATGCATAATTGACATTAATTAAGCAGGGTAAGAGCACAGCTGTGTGATGGATAATTCCATAATTACCTTAATGAGTACTTAAAGAAAATTGTTAAAAATTAATGAAAGAAATTACCGCAGCGCTAATGTATCGATTAGTAATTTCGTCAGCAAATGGCAAATAATTGTCACAAATAGATTTCATTTTACAAAAAGTGTTTGGTGTATTTAAATAGGTGTAGTATAGTAAAATGGTGGATTTAGATATCTGTAATAACCTATAAATTATAACCTACTTATAGGAATAAATTTTTGTGATAATTAAATATTGGTATATGGATGGAAGTTTGTTCTAGCATCAGCATGGTTCTTCGGTAAATTTGTATCTATAGAATCTTGTAAAAAATCGACTATTTCATCAAAATATTCTATGAAATAGACGATTTTCTTCTAGATTTCTGAAAAAAACCTGAAAAATCTCCCATTTTAGTAAAATTTTCTAAACAATCGTTAATTTTACATCTAGAACCTTGTAAAATCATCTAAAAAAACGCGTGTATAGTTCAGTATTTTAAAATATCATTGAATAGCTTGAAAAATCATCTGAAGAATCTACAATTTCATCAAAAAATCGTATATTTCCCTCTAAATTTGTGAGAAAATCACCTAAAAAACCTACCAATATATCGAAACATTCTAAAAAAATCAGGAATGAAATTTCACACATTTGAAACACATCCGGGAACATCCTGCTGGAATACAACAAGCACCAAACTTATATTCCCGTAAAATAATTCCACCAAAAACAATCCGGGATGCGGAAAAAAGCGCCACATGAAAAAAAAAATCGGCAGTAATCAACAAATATTTGAGGGGCAAACATCGAGGCTCGGGCTCGGACACCCCGGCCCTTCCGAAATAGCGCAAGTCCCGATCGGCGGGAGCGCTGAAAAGAGGTTTGCGCGATTCGCCTTCGTCGGTACGAGATCCAGTTCACTCACTGTACCCGCTCGAATGACGAATAAACCGCGCGGCCCGTCTGGCATGGGATTTTTCTATTTCAATCATTTTGTGCTGGATGAAGTACGAAAAACGCCGTTATTTTTTTGAAAATCGCTAATTAGAATTGTTGCTGGTATGTATGATGTTTTTGGGTCGCCTATAAGTACTCCGTTTTGTTTATAATACTCCCTGAAGTTTCTTAATTATTTAAAATAACGGCTAAGTGCTGGTAAATGCAATACGGCTCGAAATTGATTTTTTTATGGCAATTAATTTTTAGTACAGGATAGGTTTTCGTCGTTTTACACGTTTTATCAATTCATTTATTCTAATTATTAATATAGAAAGTTGTTTTCGTTGTTAGAATAGGTATTTATCGTATGAGTACATAAAGTAATGGGTACTTTAGTTCATTCATTTAATAGGTAAGCAATGTAGTTTGGTAAGATGTAGGTTAAAAATAATTTTCGACAATGTCATCATATTGGCATTTTTTTTATTTTATTATCCTGATGCTTGATATATACAAAATTTTATAGTTAAAAAAATAAAAACTTGGGTCATATTTTTGGAGGATTAAATTTATGACAAAAACGAAAAAGGAATTTTAAAATCATTAATTTCACATTTTTTACACTCGCTTATTTAATTTATAACTTTCTTTTTATTTATTAGGTATTTTTAAATGAATTTTTGTACGAATATTAAAATTCTTTCATAAGAGGTGCATCGGATATTGGTATTTTTATAATTTGATTTCCATGCCTGAATAAATTTTTACCGCCGCTCAACTCATAGGTGAGATAGAATTTAAAAAATTCACAATAACCATTTTAATTTTCGAACGTTTTATCTAAATGTCTAGAACTATATAGAGTTAATTAAAACATATAGTAGAAAATTGCATTTTTGGAATTATTTTTAAATAGGTACCCTAATTTATTAGCAATTTAATTAGTGTAGGTAAGAACACACATAATATAGATATTGGTAATGATGATGTTACTAACTAGTTATTCAAAATAAAATTATCAAGTGATAAAGTTTTTTATATGTATATTTTTTTGAATACTTATACTAATTGGGCGAAATTTTATTTAGAAAAATTACTCCACATGTCTAAGTTTAAGAGTCTCCTATAAGATGATGCATTAATACAATAGTAGAAATCTAAATATTTTTTTGTCTATTATCTACATTTTTTCCTAATCGTGTAAAATGATGAGCAATTCTTCTCGAAAGGCGAAATTCCTGTCGAAAAACCCACATAAAATATCGCGTGTCTGTCATAATTATACGTTGTTCACCTTATCGAGATGGTTTCTAACTTCCACAAACCCGAAAGTGTAAATTTCGTCAATAATCTCGTTAGAATTGTAACGCTACTCATGAAATCCGACATGCGAGAATCGTAAATTACCGTCAAAATTAATATTTTAAGTATTTCGAAGCCCCTTAGGACTGCAATTATATTCAGGCCCTCCAAATCTGGATATTTTAAAGAATTAATTTCTTAAAACTCAACCAAACGTGTAATAAGTATATAATTTTGTAGTTCCTCCGCCAAAATTTAGAAAAATATTTATACATTATACAATATTGGTTTTATTTATAAATTTGTATAGGAACTTAAAAATATAAAGATAAAAAATACAGGTGTAATTGTAGATAGGTATCTATAAAAAAATGATTTGCAGATATGCACAATAAATTCGCCCGAATAATTTTGCCTTAAAAAAAATCAAACCAAAAAAAAAATAATTTAATTAAATCAAAGTCGATAAAGAAACCGAGCATAAAGAGCACCGTTATTTATCCGATGTTAATTATTCCGCACGTCATTTCCCGGCGCAATCCTCTCGAGAGACTAAATTTCCCAATTTATTTCCCATTTTTTTTCTTCTCTCTTCCCAGGCGAATCTTCAAAGGCGCTCGACGACTTTGACATCATCCAGCACGTTAGAAAAACAAGCCACCCGCAGCCGAAATGTCCCCGCACCGGCGAACTTCGCAACAAAAAACCCAGCGCGACAGTGGTGGCGTCTGAAAAACCCGCAGCCACACCTCCATAGGCATAACCCAGAAACTCCTGCCCACCAGAAGTGTGAAACTGGTAGGGGAAATGTCGCCCTGCGATTGGCCTAAACGCCAACACTGACACCCGTCGGCCAATAGCGCGGCGTTACCGTCATTAACACAGCAAAGTGTTGCCTATGTGGGGCTCGCTCTATAGTCATCTACTGTCTTTTCGTCGGGCCAGAGGTGTTACGGTTCACACTCTAACTCTTTACCCTTATTTTTCACATAAAAGATTTTTTTTAAATAATATTACAACGCGATGGTACTTATAATTTATAAATAGTGCGATTATTTTTAGTGAAGTGATTTTGTGTGAAAATAGACTATTTATATATAAGTATGTTTTTTTAGTTTACATGACTCGAAAAGTGACGGTTGTATAAAAAAAATAAATGTTTGGGAATTGTTGGAAGAGCGTCGCAATAAATTTTTTATGATTTTCCTGAAGCGGTGGAGGAATCTAGTCGATTCTGCCGCGTCCAAACCAAACAAATGCGTTTCGAAACAGGCATAGACTCCGTGCTAGACCCAGCAACAAAGTCGAAGACCACCACCATGGCCTACCACCCGTTCCTGCAACTGCCCCGCCAAACGGACTTTAGTGTATCGTCGCTGCTGACGGCGGCCAACGGCAATTCGACGAGCTCGACGTCGCCGCCGGGCGGCGGGTTCTTCCCGTCGGCGGCGCTCGCCGCGCTGGGGGCGCAGCAGGGCCAGCACGGCTGCTATCCGGGCGCGTTCCTGCCGAAGATCAACCATCCGCATCCGCACCACGCGCTCACCGGCCATCCGTACACGACGGCGGAGGACGTGGTGCTGGCGGCGGTGGCGGCGCACAATCACCATCCGGCCATGGTGAGGCCGTTGAGGGCCATACAGCCCGAGGAGGACGGCGTCGTCGACGATCCTAAAGTTACTCTCGAAGGGAAGGATTTGTGGGAGAAGTTTCATAAATTGGGAACGGAGATGGTTATCACCAAAAGTGGAAGGTAGGATTCTATATTTTTTATATATTTTTACAACTAGTTATACTGACAGCTATAAGTGTATAAAGTTAGAGAATTTTATGCAAAGAAATTTATGCCAGAAAACATCTTAGTTGTTTCAACATTGTTTTCAACAATCTTATAAAAATATCTAAATTGTTATCTCCAATACCTAATATTTATAAATCTAATTCATAAAATAATCTACAAAACCCTTCATCAAGAAGGTATATAGATCTAAATTTCTCTCCATATTTCATATTTTCTACTCTGACGAAATTATTAAATTATTTTTGAATCAACTAGAGCTCTTTTAAAAAAAATATGCAATTTAAAACACCAAAATAGGTATCAATTTGACTGAAATCAAAGTGTATTAGGATACAATTAAAAAATTTGAGTATAAACGAATATTTTTCGTACTCTACTCGACTAAAAAAATCGCCTGTAAATTTGGGAAAACGTACCAAAAAGTTGTGTTAAATAATTAATCAATCGAGTATATCATTAGGAGTTCGAGCGAGTTTGAGTTTCTATAATGAAACCGGCGGATTTGAAAGTGAAATGATGATTAATCCGAAACGATTATGGATGCAAAATGCTTATTAGCGATGCGTTTAGCATTCAGATATTCCTCTTCTGAGTGTATTGGTTGTTTTGATGTAGTGGAAATTGGTTTTAATAACGATGTCGCGCAAAAAGAACATGAAATCGATTAATTTTATTTATTGCTCAATTAAGAACGCTCAATTTCATGTTTATACATATCGAGTTTATTTGTGGTGTATAAGAAAATATTGTTCAAAAAAGCTATCATAGAGCAAATATTAATTCTCTGGATTTACATCATCCAGTCTTACTAAAATACATTCATATTGCTAAAAAATATACTTAAAATGTAGTAACAAGTTTTTTAAATTTTCAATTCGAAAGTACCTAGTAACAATCCAACTGTATTTGGTATCTTTTTAACCCACTTATTCGAATTATTGTCTATACAAAGTTCAATTCGATTGCTTTATATTGCATCAATTCCACGAATTTCTTCCATACAGAAGTTTCTCAATTTAATTCCATTAAAACAGACACACCATACGTTAAAAGTACATTTCAATTAACGTTTAAACAAATCGCCTTTAATAAAGTTTTTATCGTCAACGGCGTTAGTTTAAACATTTTTTTTTTTCATTTCCAAATAGAATTGCGGCATTAAATATTTTCCCAAAGGCAATAAATTAAGTTGACGAATAGGCGGGATAATAAAATAAAATAAACGCCGTTTAACTAATTATTCCAGTAGCAGCCTATTCGAAATATTGAGGTACTTATTCGAATAATTAAATACCCGATAGTTGTAGTAAAAATTACATTTCATATGCAATAAATCAATATTAGAAGAGCGTGCAGGATCGCTCCATAATTTCTTACCGTCGGCAAATAAAATTCCTCGACTACTGTATAAAAGTGCAAGCACATATTATATTCGAATTTCCATCGTTGTTATTTATTTATTGGAAGAATTATTTGGTTTTTTTCTATGCATTTTTAATTGGAAATACACGAGTTCATAACAATGTAATTATTTATATAGTCCTAAAATTCGTAAATCACTAAATTTTTAAGTAAATTGGGTATGGCATGAAAAGTTAATTTATTAAATGCAAGTTTTAATTGTTGAAATAAATTAGAGAGCAACAGGATGAGCTTTGGAAAAACTAGTTATAATTCATAAATAATTAAGCACCTCTCAACTAATCCTAGAATCTACTTTTGTAAAAAAATAAGTAAAATAATGCAAATACAACTGGCACAAATAAAACCATTTTAATTTCGACTGAAATATTCGACCCGAAAGTCGTTCACGTTTTTTTCTTCTTCCATCAGTTTACTCGATTTCCTTCCTTTCGTTTTTCGCTTTAACTTTCCCGTTAATCCGAGTTTAAAAGTCGGGCACAATGCTGGAAAAAAAATCCCGCCGCTCAGACTGTACATAATTCCGCGTTTTTGGCCGAGAATGTACGGCGCATAGAGCGGGGTGGTGATAATTAGGCCTTTTCTGAGGCCCGAGTTCTCGTGCACCCTATTACACTCCAAGCCTGTCTTTTCATATAGGGTTAACCTCTTACTACCCTTTACATTTTCGCTTTATAACGTACATGTATTCGTTGTGCGGAACGGCATCGAGTTTACACGTCAGAAAAGGGACGTGCGTACGTTTACAGGGTGGATGCACAACTCGCTTTACACGGTGGAGGATCAAATTAAATTCCACATCCTCTCCTAAAGTCGAATGAATCAAAACCAAAATGTCTTAAGCATCAGGCAATTAAAAACTACACGCACAAATTCAGTAGAAGTTCTCTAATTATTATACAACATATCTACTAATAAAATTAATTAGTAAAATAAATCATTTGTGATAGTAATTTCGAAATTTTTACTACTGGTCTCGCCTACGTGGTGTACACAAAGGGCTATCAAAAACGTACACTCGAAATTTATAGATGACGAGCGCCTCAAATTTAGATATTAATCAAATTATCAAAACGAGATGAGGAAAACGAAACTAACGGTGATATTTTCTCAGTGGAACTTAGAGAGTCGCTCGTGCGGAACATGTTTAGTTATAAATATTAATAGTATCATCTTATACGCTAATAAGTATCTGCCCACGAAAAAGATGTACGCTTAAAACGTACTTACAATAAATTTAATGATTTATTCGAAAAGGCTGAGCTCGTAAAAGGAATTTCCATCGAAACGGGCGCCTACTTTTCGTGTATTTTAAGTACATTATCATCGATTAGGGGCCCTTTTTCCCGCAAGAGCGGCAATAAAATCGCGAAAAGTAGAGAACGTTTCTTTGTGAAGGTGCCCGGGAAACCTCCGAGTGCACAATACAAACCTAAAATATTTAAAATATCGCCGCTTTCCGTTCGCGAATGTTATGCCGTTTAAAAACCGCTTTATCAAATTTAATTTTCTTTCCATCCGCTCTCGCTTTATTGTAAATACCTCTAAATAAATCAATTGGTTCCGTTTAAATTTTAAAGCGCCGATAATGTTTTCTGGTCGCCCAAGCTCTATTATATTATTTCGTTACGGCTCCATCAAATATTGAACGAACGGTTTGATTTAATGGATACTACAAGTAATACGATTTGATAATGTTATTGTATAATTATTTGAAACTGGACTCGACAGAGAGCCACAGCCAGGTATTTGATGGGTGGAGTTCCGGCTCGTTTCACGAATTAGAAAATTATTAGCCTATTTACGAAATTAGTTAATTATTGATGCATTCGGATAGCGAACCCCGTGATTTATTCGAATAGAGAAATTCCAAGTTAAGATACCGTTGAATTTATTATTATTTTCTGAATTATTTTGTGTTAATATTCGATGGAACAACTTGGAGCTTTTACTATTAGGGATATTCAGATAGATTATAAACGAAAAAAAAAAACAACAAATTGGAAAAAGTGGCGTGCAAACAAATAAATTTCCACGTGAACGTGGAAATGAAAAAAAAATCTCATTTTAATCCGAATGTACACTCTATAATGATGTGCAGATTGTCGAAAGCCGAAAAAATGTACGCGGGAATGAAAAAAAAAAACAAACCGGAAAACAAATTTAGAGTTGAAGCTCTGGTGTAAAAAATCAATTTACCGAACACGGTCAATTAAAAAATTATTCACAACGCGTTTTTTTCGTTCTCTCTGCCTGTGCGGGATTCGGTTATTTTCACACATATCGAGTGAAAACGCGTAGAAACGTGCATCCAATTTTCGAATTTAGTCTCGGATGTCAGGAAGATATTTGTTTGAAATTTAAATCGGATAATTTAATTACAAGCGCCGGATCGGAACCACAGGTGCGCATTAAGGGGGATAAATCCTCACAATTCCAACCAACTAGCCAAATACTTTACATTAGATATTAATTCTCTCACAAAAATTACTTAACATCTCGTCGATAGCTCACCTATAGAGATCGAAGCCGGATAAATTCGAAAAATCATTCATAACAATGATCGAGATTCCAGAGGGCAAATCGGCAATAAATAACGATGGCCCGGTTCGATACCGAAACCAATAACCAATAAAAAATAGCTCGTAAGTGACCATTAAAAAACAAAACACCTTATTAACTTCAAGATAAATCCACAAATCCCCTAGATGACTTGATTTGGGCGAAGTGGAAAACGCACAAATTATAGTGGTATCGACGGAGAGGTTAGCTGAAAAACAAGGTGGGATATATAATCCTACCACATTGAAAGACGGGCTCAGCTGCCCATATCGCCCAGTGGCGTAGCTGCAATTAGGGAAATAATTACACCCTCAATTAAAGGATAATTATCAAATGCGAATTTTAATTGTTTTTATAGATAGTTGGAATATGTTTAGGGAATTTCGAATAAATTTTTGCATTATGTATTACATTATTTTGCATTTCTGAATAATTAATTATTTTTTGAGCGCATTTTCATGCGAGCCTACAAGCTGAAATTTTTCTAGAATAGTTTAGGTAAAAAAAATTGCTATATAACCCTAGTTAATTTTTCTACGGTACCAGCAATGGTTCAGCATCTTGGCCCATAACGACGTTGTTAACTAACAAGTATATCATAATAACAACCTTCCAGCGGACCGGTCGAAATGGCGGTCGTGATCGAGCCAAAACCCAGCTAACAATCACCTGGTCGATTGTACCTACCTCAGTCTGAGGAAGATAAATACAAAATTATACCCTATTGGTAGTGGTCATAAGATGCATGGGTAGATCATTACCGATGAAAAAACAAAAGCTGGGTGATGATGTGTTTAATGCAAAGGTGTTATTACCGTCCCTTTTTTTTCCTCTCGTTTCGTTAACCGAAATTTTTGTTAGTTTTTACCGAGTGTGGAAAATGCGTGCGGTCCCCGGAATATTAGGACCACCACCTGTCTTTCTATTCGAAAAACACCTCGACCATAGACGTGTGTTATTATTGGAAA